CCCCTCTTCTTCATGTCTCTTCTACATCAACATGTGTCCCCCTCTTCTTCATGTCTCTTCTACATCAACATGTGTCCCCTTCTTCATGTCTCTTCTACATCAACATGTGTCCCCTCTTCTTCATGTCTCTTCTACATCAACATGTGTCCCCTCTTCTTCATGCTCTTCTACATCAACATGTGTCCCTCTTCTTCATGTCTCTTCTACATCACATGTGTCCCTCTTCTTCATGTCCTCTTCTACATCAACATGTGTCCCCTCTTCTTCATGTCTCTTCTACATCAACATGTGTCCCCTCTTCCTTCATGTCTCTTCTACATCAACATGTGTCCCCTCTTCTCATGTCTCTTCTACATCAAATGTGTCCCCTCTTCTTCATGTCTCTTCTACATCAACATGTGTCCCCTCTTCTTCATGTCTCTTCTACATCAACATGTGTCCCCTCTTCTTCATGTCTCTTCTACATCAACATGTGTCCCCTCTTCTTCATCTCTTCTCATCAACATGTGTCCCCTCTTTCATGTCTCTTCTACATCAACATGTGTCCCCTCTTCTTCATGTCTTTCTACATCAACATGTCCCCTCTTCTTCATGTCTCTTCTACATCAACATGTGTCTCCTCTTCTTCTCTACATCAACATGTGTCCCCTCTTCTTCATGGCTCTTCTACATCAACATGTGTCCCCTCTTCTTCATGTCTCTTTCATCACATGTGTCCCCTCTTCTTCATGTCTCTTCTACATCAACAGGTGTCCCCTCTTCTTCAAGTCTCTTCTACATCAACAGGTGTCCCCTCTTCTTCAGTCTCTTCTCCATCAACATGTGTCCCCTCTTCTTCATGTCTCTTCTACATCAACATGTGTCCCCTCTTCTTCATGTCTCTTCTACATCAACATGTGTCCCCTCTTCTTCATGTCTCTTCTACATCAACATGTGTCCCCTCTTCTTCATGTCTCTTCTTCATCAACATGTGTCCCCTCTTCTTCATGTCTCTTCTACATCAACATGTGTCCCCTCTTCTTCATGTCTCTTCTACATCAACATGTGTCCCCTCTTCTTCATGTCTCTTCTACATCAACATGTGTCCCCTCTTCATGTCTCTTCTACATCAACATGTGTCCCCTCTTCTTCATGTCTCTTCTACATCAACATGTGTCCCCTCTTCTTCATGTCTCTTCTACATCAACATGTGTCCCCTCTTCTTCATGTCTCTTCTACATCAACATGTGTCCCCTCTTCTTCATGTCTCTTCTTCATCAACATGTGTCCCCTCTTCTTCATGTCTCTTCTACATCAACATGTGTCCCCTCTTCTTCATGTCTCTTCTACATCAACATGTGTCCCCTCTTCTTCATGTCTCTTCTACATCAACATGTGTCCCCTCTTCTTCATGTCTCTTCTACATCAACATGTGTCCCCTCTTTTCATGTCTCTTCTACATCAACATGTGTCCCCTCTTCTCATGTCTCTTCTACATCATCATGTGTCCCCTCTTCTTCATGTCTCTTCTACATCAACATGTGTCCCCTCTTCTTCATGTCTCTTCTACATCAACATGTGTCCCCTCTTCTTCATGTCTCTTCTACATCAACATGTGTCCCCTCTTCTTCATGTCTCTTCTACATCAACATGTGTCCCCTCTGTGGAAAGAGACTCTGAAAGTTTCAGGAACAAAGATTCTCTCTCTTTTTGATCCATTTCTATAAAAACCTGTCTGAAAATGAGCTGATCAGATTTTGGCCACTTTATGATGTCATAACGATGTGTTGTCTTGTGTAACCATTAGCCAATCAGCAACCAAGGTAACCCCCCCCCCCTCTTATCACCTGAATCTCCTCTAGAGCCATTGAGTTCTTTGTAACCAAATGTCTCTCAGAGGGGCGTGGGGAGGGGCTCCTTATTTTCATCTGAAGTAACAGACAGAGAATCAGCACTTGGAAACAGGGCTGAAACAGAGGGGATTATGGGTAATGCTGCAATGATCTGTTTTGGTGTTTCAGCCAATCAAGAGGAACAGGCTCTGTATATATCTGAGAGCTGTGATCTCACCTGATGAAACACAGTACACAGTACACCTTAATACAATGTAATACAGAATTTTAATTTGACATTTATTGTGAGTGAAAATAATAATATTAAGACTCACTTCTAGCAGTTTTCAACATCTTTTATTTGACACTTTGAGCTTGCTTGTCTTTCATAAGCTTTCATCTGGGGACACCAGGATTATGAACATTGATTTAAGAACGTTTTTTTGTGTGGAATATAAATTGCAATCCCTTCTACGCACCCCCTGCAATCCCCTTAAGAACCACTTGGGGTCCGTGTACCTCCCAGTTGGGAACCACTTAGGGAGGAGCTAAATAATAAAACATATCGCTGATGAAACTGAAAGAGAAACACGATTATCCAACAACATCTTTTATTATCACACCTCAATCACATTACATTTAGTAATCAAGCACTGCTGACTGTTGTTAGACTTTAGGTCACATTTATATTCAATTATTTACTGTCTTTTTGTATTATATGTTCAACAATAAGCAAAGAAAGAAGAGAAATACAGTAAATGCATCACATTAAGATCAACAAGTTGAATCTCCACAAACTGCATGAAGCTGCAACGTCTGTCCTTTGATCAGGAAGAACAGGAACTTTAACTGAAGACAAATAAAACCTTCAATTTAATAATCAAGACAGCATTTGTGTTGCCGCAAACATCTTCAAGACAAGTTACATAACTGTGGAAGTCCAAAACCTTGAAACATAAATGTTTGGCATATAATCAAAATGTATTATACATTGAAACATCTTAATAATTGATTAATAAAAACAAGAGAACAAAAGTGAGTGGTAACCGTTATAGGCATATACTCGAGCGGACAGAGGTCAACCAATGACTGTGTGTGTCCGATAAGAAGCAGTTTTCCATAATGCAGTTATTGGTGCAAAAACTAAAGCTGGGCAAAATGCACTTTACCATTGTTAGGATCATAACAACACAAAATGTGCACATCGATTGTAATGTACTAATGGGTCATACCACAGCTCAACTTTTAACCCATTTTACATCCAGCCAACACGTTTTTCAACAACCTCACAGTATTGCACACATTTTATTTGCTTTATTTTTATCTTCTTGGGGCCGGTTCTCCTCTGTTTGTGAGCGATTTGGCTGTTTGGCTACTTTTGAGATGATCTTGCTTTTCATTTTTTTGTTTGTGTTCAAGTTTTTGCTAATCTAGCTTTAACTTGCGGTTGCGGCCTCTGTTCTCTTAGAACCCTTGGGTCATGCGCAAGCTTTTGGTTGTCATTTTAGCCAAAGCATTGAAGAACTTCTCCATACTTTTGATGCCCATCTTCCAAAACATTTCGTCAAAGTCATCATCAATCCTCATCTTCCTCATCAGAATTCTCCTCACAGGCCCGATCACTGCTGCTTCTGTTGTCTGCAAACAACGCTGAGTTGTTGAATGTGAAGTGAACTGGAAGACCTAGGTAATCTTTTGGACATGGAATCCCAGACTTCTTTATTGTCTCAAGAACAGGTGGCTGCTTGCCATCTGCAAAGGTGACCAGCATCTGGATATTCTCTGCCACGTCTTTGCCAAAGATGGAGAGCACAGAGTCAAACACATATCGTTGTGTGGCTGTTAGTCGGGCAAGAGAGGCCTGGGTGACAAAACACACCGCATCAATCTCACTGACTCCATTCGCAGAAGTGAAAAGCCTCCTGATTTGTTCTGTGATCTCCTTGTCTCTTTCTATTCCTCTCGTACCTCCAAAGCCTGGAGTATCAACAATGGTCAGAGAGAAAGGGATTTTAAAGCCCTCTTGGTGGTTGATTTTGTACACAGTGACTTCAGAGGTCTGGCTCTCAGCTTGAGATCTCGACTGATCCTCGACAACTAACTTGAATCTGAAATCGTCCTTCCACTCTACACCAACGATGTAGTTGATGAGTCCATTGATCAGAGTGGACTTTCCAGATCCAGTTGCTCCGAGAAGTATTATTGTGAGATTTTGCCTCATGCTTTCTTTGCCAAAGTTGTACCTCCGGCATCTATCGATGTTCAGATCTTCTTCTGTCAGAGGCAGTTTGTAAACTGAGGGAGATTCAGAGTTGATCCTCTTGCTTTTACTTTTGAGGAATTCTGCAAGACGTGCAAATTCACGTTTAGTTGTGACGTCAAGTCCTGACATGATCGCCTTCTCAGCTCCCGCCATAATTTGCTCCCAGATCTTCCTCTTTTCACCTGGTGGTCTCTTAGGTTTGTCTAGAGAAAACAGAAAATATGTTTAGTATAGTTGTTTTGTTCACTCCTGTGAATCTGCTTGTGCAAACTTCCCTGCTTTGGGACGCCCCTGGGCAGTCCAGAGACAGTTACCGAACGCACTCCTAAGACTGTGACGCCATTCATCACTCGCAGCGCGCTACCGATCATAAACAGACTTTCGAAGAGTGAACGGCTCGTTGTGTGTTCCGCGGTTGTGCGTGTATGAAGTGTTGATAACTGCAGCATAATCACCTATTGTCTATGTATATGATTTGAAGTAACGTGTTATAGCAGAAAAGTTCAATACAGCGTATCTCTGGTATATTCATTTTAATGTCACCTGATATATAAGAAGTGTGTTGAATTATGTTATCACTAATATGTGTGTTTTTATATATTCATGTGTGTTAAACTTGAATGGACAAGCCAATTTTTTCCTCTTAAATTATAGAGAGTTTTTTATATATTCCTAAAATAATGTCCCATTTTGGGTAAAAGTAGATTAGCGCAAATGGTCTTTTCTCCCACTTTTGTGTTAGAATCGAAAGGTGTTTTTTTTGGCTATTTGTGAGTAGGTAAGGTACAGTATAACCTGTGATTTCTGCCTTGAGTAAAAAGATTACCCGTTGATTAAGTATCTTTCAGGAGGAAATATGTGTGTGCTCATGTGCAGATGTTAGTTAATGATTCATATCCTACAAGACCTCTAGAGAGGCCAGGAGATGATTGAGTGACACGTTCAAGAGACAAAGGGGCCTTCTGACTAATCATAGATGTCTTCATTTTGCGTGAGCCGGCCTTCGGGGGATGGAAGGAAGTTCAGATAAGGCCCTAAGGGGATAAGAACCAGTTAACCTTTGTTAGGTTAACTAATTATCTGGAGTGTCCTGAGACAAAGGACATTAAAACATATACAAATGCAAGCTTTCAGAGAGGAAAACATGTGACCTTTGATGTGATAAGCTACTGGTAAGATGTTGTGTTCGTTCTGTCCACAGAAGTCCTCTGTCTAAGATTATACTACTTACCAAAGCATTGTATTGGGGCTTTGGGGATCTCACCACACACCACCACACACACACACACCACACACACACACACACACAACACACACAAAGACCACACACACAACACACACCCACAACACACACAACACACCCACACCACACACACACACACACCCCACACACAGCCACACCACACACACAACCACACACCACACAACACACACACACACACCACACACACCACACAACACACACACACACCACACACACACACACACAACACAACACACACACCCACACAACACACACACACACACACACACACACACACACACACACACCACACACAACACACACACACCACACACACCACACACACACACACACACACACACCACACACACACACACACACACACAATGTAAGGAGATGGAATCAACAAACTGCTGACTCATTGTCTAGGGACTCGCCCAGAAGTGAAATCGCCAATAACAAATAGCTAGGGAGGAGCAACCAACACAACTCCTCCAACAGAATTGTATTTAAGGCCGTCCCAATGTTCATAATCGGCGCTCTTTCCTGACTGGCTGTCGTGGTACGTATATCACACGGTGGTAGGAATTGAGCCCGGAGCACTCTGTAATTGGTACTATTGCAGAGTGCTCTGTATTGTGTGTTGTTGCTTTCTACCATTAAAACAGATTATTGTTTAACTTTTATCCTGGTGCTTTGAGTTCCTTCTTTTGTAAATTTGACCAGCTCATCAGTCATCAAGGGATGGCGCGGAGCAGAGGTGAACCTTCCACCACCGCCATTGGGTGGTGCTCCAACAGATTGCATGCAAGTTTTTTACCTTAAAAAGCATTTAAATACCGCATTTAAAATCTGATGAACTCAGTGTGCATCTGGACCCGGTGACGACATTACCTATTGACGCAGCAACCACTGTAAGTGATATTCTTGTTTAATTAGACTTCTCTGTTTCATTTATTCGACTCTGTATAAATTGTTATTGTAGCTAAAACGGCTAAATCGCGTTTGAGAGATTTTAAATCTCAGATCTGCTCAGGCGAAACCTGCTTCACAGGTCTCAGCACTCAAGCCTGCATTAATATAGGCACGGCCAGTCTATTGTCGCCCATCAGCTGTAGATAGTTAACTAATTAGAGGGCCGTGGCCCCACAGCTGTGTGAACTGAGCTATCAGGCGTCCATTTTAGGTAGCTCTTTCCTGGAGCGTCAGCTTCAGCGTCAGACAGCCGAAGACTGACAAAGACATTGGAGTCCTGCGGGAGTAAGACTGACAAAGACATTGGAGTCCTGCGGGAGTAAGACTGACAAAGACATTGGAGTCCTGCGGGAGTCACGAGGGAGGCAAAGAGGAGGCAAAGAGGAGGCAAATCCTACTCTGATTGTGCTGGTGTCTTATTTCTCTTTTCTTTAGTTTTCTAGCCCCTCATGCTATAATCATGTGTATTTTCTCCATTCCTGTTCATGTGTCTTCTCGCAATTATCACTGGCCCCGTGTATCTCCTAATCGCTATAACCGGCCTGTGGAACTGCCAGTCAGCTGTTCCTAAGGCTGACTTCATCTCTGGCTACGCCTCCCTGCAGTCTCTGGATTTCCTTGCTCTCACTGAGACCTGGATTACTCCATCCAACACATCCACCCCAGCAGCTCTCTCCACTGCATATTCCTTCTCCCATACACCCAGACCAACTGGCAGAGGAGGTGGCACTGGTCTCCTGCTCTCTCCCAAATGGAGCTTTTCCCTCTTCAAGCTACCTAACTTCACTCCTTCCACCTTTGAGTTCCATGCCGTCACAGTAACCCATCCTATACAGTTAACCATTGTTGTTCTCTACCGTCCACCAGGCGCCTTGGGGGACTTCTTGGAGGAATTAGATCATCTCCTCTCACACATCCCTGAAACTGGCCCTCCCGCTGTACTTCTCGGAGACTTCAACCTCCAGACAGGGAAGATAGACGAACTAACATCTCTGTTAACCGCCTTTGCTTTCTCACTGTCTCCGTCCCCACCGACTCATAAAGCTGGCAATGTCCTTGATCTCATATTCTCAAGGAACTGCACTACTTCTAACCTCTCTGTAACCCGCTCCACACATCTGATCACTTCTTCATTTCATTCTCTCTACCCCTTTCCAAACATAACAAACTAATCTCTTCTCATCCTGCACTTGTCCGGCGTAACCTTCGCTCCCTCTCCCCCCTCTACCTTTGCCTCATCGGTGCTCTCAGCCCTCCCTACCTCTGATTCGTTCCAACTCCTGCCTCCAAACTCTGCTGCAGAAACTCTCCTCTCTACTCTCTCATCCTCTCTGGACTCTCTCTGTCCTCTCACATCTCGGCAGGCTCGTCAGTCCCCTCCTGCTCCTGGCTAAATGATGCACTGCGTGCTAATAGAACCGTCCTTAGGGCAGCAGAGCGGAAATGGTGGAAATCCAAACACCGTGACGACCTCCTAACCTATCAAGCTCTCCTCTCCTCTTTCTCTGCTTCGATCTCTCAGAAAAAAGCACTTTCTTTCAAGATAAGATCCAATCTTCCTATTCCAAACCTAAAAAACTATTTTCCATCTTCTCCACCCTCTTGGACCCTCCAAAAGCCCCTCCCCCTCCTCACTTCTGTCAAGCGACTTTGTTACCCACTTTGAAAAAAAGGTTAATGATATTCGCTCTTCTTTTTCTGACTCACCTTTACTCACCGCTGGGTCACCAGACCCTCCTTCCACCAACACTAACCTCCTTTCCCCTCTCTCTCCAAGTGAGGTTCTTACCCTCATTACCTCTGCCCGCCCTACCACCTGTCCTCTGGACCCTATCCCTTCAAACCTCCTTCAGACTATCGCTCCTGATATTCTACCGTTTCTCACCCATTTCATCAACACTTCTCTAACCTTCTGGTCACTTCCAAACAGTCTCAAGGAGGCAAGAGTAAAGCCTCTCCTAAAGAAACCCACTCTCAACCCGTCTGATGTTATAAACTACAGGCCTGTCTCTCTCCTCCCGTTCCTGTCTAAATCACTTGAACGCGCTGTCTTTAAACAACTCTCCTGTTATCTCAATCAGAACAACCTTCTGGATCCGCACCAGTCTGGTTTCAAGGCAGGTCACTCCACAGAAACTGCTCTCATTGCTGTCACGGAGGAACTGCACACTGCCAAAACTGCATCCCTCTCCTCTGTCATCATCCTGTTGGACCTGTCTGCTGCATTCGACACGGTGAATCATCAGATCCTCCTTCGCACTCTCCAAAAACTTGGAGTTTCAGGCTCTGCACTTTCCCTCCTCACCTCATACCTGAAAGACCGTACCTACAGGGTGACTTGGAGAGGGTCGGAGTCTGACCCTTGTCAATTAACTACGGGGGTCCCTCAGGGCTCTGTTCTTGGTCCCCTCCTCTTCTCCTTGTACACAAACTCGCTCGGATCAGTCATTAGCCCGCATGGTTTTTCTTACCACTGCTACGCTGACGACACCCAATTAATTCTGTCCTTTCCCCGCTCAGAGACCCAGGTCGTCGCACGCATCTCTGCTTGTCTAGCTGACATCTCTCAGTGGATGTCTGCTCACCACCTCAAGCTCAACCTTGACAAGACTGAGCTGCTCTTCCTCCCGGGAAAAGATTGTCCAACTCTTGACCTAACAATCAACATCGGCACCTCAGTTGTTTCCCCGACTCACACTGCAAGGAATCTGGGTGTGACCCTAGATAACAACCTGTCCTTCACTGCAAACATCGCTGCTACAACCCGCTGCTGCAGATACACGCTTTACAACATCAGGAAGATACGTCCCCAGCTGACTCAGAAAGCGACTCAGGTTCTAGTCCAGGCTCTCGTCATCTCACGCCTAGACTACTGCAACTCCCTCCTGGCTGGTCTACCTGCATGTGCCATCCGACCTCTGCAGCTCATCCAGAATGCAGCGGCTCGTCTGGTCTTCAACCTTCCTAAATGTTCCCACACCACTCCGCTCCTCCGCTCCCTTCACTGGCTTCCGGTAACTGCTAGAATCCACTTCAAGACCCAAGTTCCCATCGGCAGAAACACGTGGGTTTGCTATCCTGGCTCCAAGATGGTGGAATGAGCTCCCCATTGACATCAGGACGGCAGATAGCTTGCACATCTTCCAAACTGAAAACTCATCTCTTTCGACTCCACTTCGAGCGATAGAACTATTAACAAAGCACTTTTATACTAATAAAGGACTGGCTTACCTAAAGCCAGTTGAGTAGCACTTGAAATGTTTGGCTCTATGAAACCTGATGTACTTTATGATTCTGTTTTCTTCAAGGTTGTGTCTTCCTGGTTGAATGTACTTATTGTAAGTCGCTTTGGACAAAAGCCTCAGCTAAATGCAATGTAATGTAAAAGTTTAAACAGTTTACAGACTATAAACTGTGTAGTAATATATTGTTTACTGTACTATGGGAGTAGTGATTTTATTTTTCTTTGTATTTGATTTAATAGATTTATTTCGAATGTGTAAAACAATAATACAAACATTTAACATGAGAATTATTATACAATACAAAATTAAGTAATGTGAAATTGATATACAAAAATATTACTGATTCTAAGTTATGTATAAAGAAATGATCTACTTAATTACACATCCAAAAAGGGGTGGGAGGAGGTTTACACTTATTTAATCCCACCCCTTCTCCCAAAAACTACATTAACATATATATTGATATATATTTTTTTTTGTTTTCTTAAATAAATACATACCTTATTGAAAAAACAAACAAACGAAAAAAAAACATAACACAACAAATGAATAAACAGATAAATAAACTAACAAATACATAAAAGAGTTAAATGATATTCAAGAAAAGATCAAATAACAAACCAAATAAATAAACTGCAAACACCCAGTTATGATTAAACAGCGTCGTCCCTGTATCTTGTTCGAATCATGTCCTTATACCTTTTTTTAAACAGTTTTAAGTTCGGACATCCCTTGAGCTCCTCCTTCAAACTGTTCCAGAGCTTCACCCCACAAACAGAAATACCAAAATATATTTGTGTCATCACAAAACTAATGAGTATTCTTGATACATTGCATATTTCGTTAATAATATAAATAGTCATGGTGTTTTGCCGTAAGTGGGACTGATTGTTAATTATCAGTGGTTTTGCGTTCTGTCTGTTGTGACAGTTAATGTAATTATATTTTTGTATCTATTATATATCTATGTATATCTATCCAGTATTGTGACATTGCAGTGAGCTGTGTAAAACGTTATGTCAGCCGCCATTATCACGTGTTGGTTAAAACACTTACACTTTCTGTGGTCAAGTGAGCCCACTTGAGGGCATTTCGGGTATTGTTTTTATACCAAGCAGCTGTTTCAGTGTTTATGTGTACTTAATGTCCCTATCAGGAAATGGTATCCTATTGTTTACATAAGCCTGAGTCAAAAGTTCCATCGACCACTCGATAATAATTCATTATACATGGAGGCGTGTTGCGCAGTGGATAGAGCCTTGGTGTTTGGACCAGGTGGTCCCAGGTTCAAACCCCACTGCAGTCAGCATGTTGTTATGTCCCTGAGACACTTCACCCCAAAGTGCTCCTGTGGGGATTGTCCACAGTGTTGAGTATGTCAGTCGCTTTGGATAAAAGCGACTGACATGTAATGTAATATTCAGTTTTGTATTTTGTCCTGTGTGCTAAAATAAATGTTATGATCAGTCATGAATTCACCTCCATTTATGTACCATGAACTAAAATCACCCAGTCCCAGTGACCGGAGTAAACTAAGGTTTTAAATCTCTTTGATGAAAATCTAATAAGACATAACTGTTTCGACTCTCACATTGACCCAGGTTCTAATTTCTTCAGAAATCTTACAAACAACTGCTGCTACTATAGCAAAACACTTTTTCACATAGAACTCAAAGCTATTAATTATTAATGGTATTCATTAATACACTTTAACCTGTTAAAGACTATACTCCAATTCAAACACTGAGTAAGTGCATTGAACAAATCAATGACTGGATGTGTCAGAACTTTCTCCAATTAAACAAAGATAAAACTGAGGTAATGGTTTTTGGAGCCAAGGCAGAACGTATACAAGTTAGCGCTGAGCTTCAGTGTGCAATGTTCAAAACAACAGATAGAGCCAGAAATCTAGGTGTAGTCATGGACTCTGACCTGAGTTTCAACAGTCACATTAAAACAGTTACTAAATCAGCCTACTATCACCTAAAGAATATATCTAGGATTAAAAGACTAATGTCACAGCAGGATTTGGAAAAACTTGTCCATGCTTTTATCTTCAGTAGACTCGACTACTGCAATGGTGTCTTCACAGGTCTCACTAAAACATCTATTAGGAAGCTGCAGCTAATTCAGAACGCCGCTGCTCGAGTCCTCACTAACACTAAGAAAGTGGATCACTCCTGTTCTGAAGTCTTTACACTGGCTTCCTGTGTGTCAAAGAATAGATTTCTAAATACTGCTGCTGGTTTATAAAGCACTGAATGGTTTAGGCCCCAAATACATTTCTGACCTCCTGCTAAATGATGAAGCATCCAGATCTCTCAGGTCTTCAGGGACTGGTCAGCTTTCTGTCCCCAGAGTCAGAACTAAACATGGAGAAGCAGCGTTCAGTTATTATGCTCCAAATATCTGGAACAAACTCCCTGAAACCTGCAGGTCTGCTGCAACTCTGACTACTTTCAAATCCAGCAAGAAGACTTTTCTTTTTGTCACTGCTTTTAATTGAACTATTCATATCTTAGACTGCACTGTAACTTTGATCCATGTACTTTTTCTTTTAATGTTTATTTTATTATCTTTTCTTTTTAATGACTGATTTTAAATGCCTTTTTCTGAATGTCTTTCATTTTTTGTAAAGCACTTTGAATTGCCTTGTGTTGAAAAGTGCTATATAAATAAACTTGCCTTGCCTTGTTAAACCCTAATCCGGGTCCTGCAGGGTGTTTTCCCCCCGAAACTGTGTCTCAGAGCTTCTTAATATTTAAAAACGTATTAATGTGTCATACTCACTTAACGGTTAGAAACTGAAGATATGAACAATTTTTACCGAAACAAAACACTAGTCTCACAAGAAGCGTCTAAATTAGCCCTGAGAGAAAAAATGCTAACGCACTTTGCACAGAATTCACGGTACAAATACCACAATTACTGATATATGCACAAACAAGGCATCGATTAGCATCGTGAGATTACACAGATTCCAGAAATATAAGTCTCATCACTGAGCGATCAGAACTCGGCGAAACGACAACAAACAACAACATTAGCCAAAACGGCTAAAAGCGTCTTACCTTTCTGATCAAAAGTTGTGTTCAATGGCATTAAAACGATAAAAAAACGCGGCTGAAGGTTAATCCAATGTGTCTGTGTCACTTTGAATGATTACTGATAATCCATCATAACATTTTAATGTAAAAACCAGAGATTTCATATTAGCTGCTAATGATAGCAACCAGAGCGTATCGCAGCTTCCGGTTCCGGGGCGCATCACTCATTCACCAATGGGTAATGTTTAGATGGATTTTAGGAACGTCCCCTCGATTATATTGGCTCTAACGGTTACAAAGAGGTGTCAATCATCAATATCGAACAAAGGGGCCAGAAATAGGTCAAATCAACCCAAATGACCCCAGAAGTGTTTTTTCTTTCTAAATCTCTCTAAAAAGGTCAAATGTCACTTGTTTTGCAGCAATCTTGATACAGGGTACTTATATGTTATAGTTTGGATTCCTAAAGCTTTTATTCTACCATCCCATCATTCAAGGGTAGTTTTCAATATAAGTACATTTAATTTTTTTGGACGGACACTATAATTGAAATATTTTAATATGTTCAATCTGAATTTACAATAAAATAAAAATAAATTCTATATTGATTCTGACTTTTCTACATCCAACTCACCTTGTAACCTTGCTTTGAGAAAAAAAAGATTATGCATTTACCCCTTTTAAAAGTGAAGATATGGTCATTTGCTCTGGGAATGTCATTTTCGAGCCTGAGACCTGAAAAACAGCCTTAATGCAAATAGTGACAAAATCAAACTATATCTTCAACTCATAAATAGATCATTTTACAACTTTGCAATCTCTGAGACCTGCAAACTGACTCAAACACTGTTGACAATTTTTTACCCAATTATGCGGCTTTTCATATGAATGGCAAAACTCCAAAGAGGTGGAGGGGTTTCACTGTTTGTTAAAAACACACTTTCTGCGAGATTGGTAGAAAGCCTCTCTTTCTGCTGCAACAACCTCTTTGAATCTGTCACCGTAGACATTGAGCTAAAACACAAAAAACATATACTCGTCTCATGCATGTACAGAAAGCCAGGAAGTAATCTTGAAGAATTTAATGAACAAGTAGAAAAAATGCTCAGACCTCATAGAAATAAAAAACCTTTGTGTGTGTGGAGATTTCAACATTATTATTGATAACATTTTCACTCACGTCCTTGAAACGGAACATGGGGCCCTCATCACTGATGTCTCCTGCCAATATTCACAATTTGCGGAAAATAACCTGTAAATAACAAAGAACAAAATACATACATAACTAAGCAGAAATTCAATGACAGTTCTCTAAATAAATTAAATATGAACTTAAAAAATGAAAAATGGCAAGAAGTATTTGAGACTCAAGATGTAAACAAATCCTATAATAAGTTTGCATATCATGTATTTCTGTTTGCCATGTATATAAATGTTATGTTCATAAAATGTTGTATGTGACGGGAGTACGGATGGAAATTAGCTCAAAGCTAAAATCCGGCTCATTTACATTTGAAAGCATTATTTTGTTTAAAATGTTCATTAATGTGCATTGTCCCGGTTCAAATACACGATTAAATAAATAAATAAAATATATAAATTGTAAAGATTTTCATGCAAAACATGAATGAATGTTGTACATATAAAAATTAAGATTGGCAACAGGAATAATAATGACTCAAAACCCTGGTTCACTCGTGGACTGAAAAACGCCTGTTGTAAGAAAAATGCACTCAATAGGTAATATTTGAAAAGTAAAAACACTGAAGATGAAAGTCGTTACAAATTGTATAAAAACAAATTGACTACAATACTTAGAAACTGTGAAAAACGATACTTCTCTGAAAAATTTGAAAATGCCATAGGAGATATGAAAAACCACTTGGAAGGTAATACATAGTATAATTAAGAAGAAAATAACTAATAACAGAAATGAATTTAAGAAAATCCAAACCGAAGGAAAAACCCCAACAGATGTTGCAAATAGCTTTAATGAGTTCTTTACTGAAATTGGCTCCAACCTGGCGAGTGACATCAGCCCAGCTTCATCTAAAGTGGATGATTTTCTGAAAAATTGCAACCAACAGAGTATGTTCCTGAACCCAATTACAGAAAATGAACTGCTTGATATTGTTAATACTCGACACAGTAAACGTCCAAAGATTATTTAGGACTTAGTCTGAATATTGTTAAACAAGTTGCACCAAAACATTGTAGCCCCCCTAGTAAATATTTGCAATAAATCGTTCCAACAAGGTATTTTTCCCAATGAAATCAAAATCGCGAAATCTGGTGATAAATCAAGTTTTAATAATTATAGACCCATTTCTTTACTACCACAATTTTGGTTGAAGAAATTACCAACAACATTGAGAAAAAAAATGATTACAGCTGGTATATTCATTGACCTTAAAAAGGCTTTTGATACTGTGAACCATACTGCTACACACATTAGAACATTATGGCATAAGGGGTCAAGCCAAAGAATGGGTCAAGAGTTATCTGATAAATAGGCTACAATATGTGGATATAGACGAGGCAAAATCAAACAATCTTCCTATAACATGTGGAGTCCCTCAAGGGTCAATCTTAGGTCCAAAACTGTTTCTGATTTATATTAATGACATTATCAACACCTCAGACATGTTCAAATTCATTTTGTTTCACCATTCTCTGCTCCCATCATAATCTTGGTGATCTTGTTAAAATTGTTAATGCAGAATTAGAAATACTATGTAACTGGTTTGCAGTTAATAAATGATCCCTTAATGTGAGGTGGTGAAGTGATCATTATTGATTGAGCAGTATACTCTTTCACATTGAATCATAACAAGTCATACTGAATGTAAATACAACTGACTCTAAAGTAAGTCCCAGTCTGTGACATTGGACATTTTGAAGACTCAAAGTCCCAAGCAGTAGGTAGAATATTAGCTAGTCTATGTAATGTGCACAGAAAATAAACAGTTAACTGAATACTGGGATGGAAATGGCCTATAAGCACTCAGTAAAACATAAACACACAAAAAGCTTCTGAATGATAAGAAGTATAATTAAAACATAATGCACATTACCATTTTGAGAGAGAGTACCTAAGAACTCAGAAAATAATCTCTTATTGAACTGAGGCTCCAGTAAAACACACTGACTGCGTCTCTACATGGACATCATGGTGTTTACATGAGCACAGAGAGATGGGGTTATTCATGTTCCCTGTTTACATGATAAATACTAGTAACCTGGCATTTCGATGCCTTTTCTCATCTAAACTATTCAGTATTTGTGTCTCTCTATCATGACATAAAGACGAAACTCCTCCAGAAGTGAGACGCCGCCGCCATCACTGCTAACTGATTAACTGCTACCAGCTGATGACTTACTTTCCTCTTCTTTGAAAAACATGCTCTTATGTCCATGTTGTCTGGGGGAGAAAACATATCAAACCAAGAGATCGTCAGCTTTGATTTTCGCTGTATTAACAATGTCCTGAACACTTGGTGTGTGTGCCTTACCTCCGCTACCGGCATCGCTTCATACAACAGATCTGAGCTGTCCAACTATGACAACACTCCTTGAACATGCGCGCTATGGGAGAATCTGCCTTGGTACAAAGCAGCAGTGAAAACATGGTACGGAGTTTCATTGATTTGGGCATTCTCTCAATAAGCAAGTGGAATGGATTTGATAGTGAGGCTCTGACACAGCTCTCTACAGAGTGCGTCGAGTGGAGAGACCGACTCACAGACTTTCCACATGGTAAAAGTGGGGGGGTCTAAACTAATCATTTTAAAAAGTGGGGGGGACTTGTCCCACCCTCATATAATGGCTGCGACGCCCATGAAGTCTTCATGGATATGTTTTTCTCTCTCGGGCTTCTCCCTCTTATGACCAAACCAACCAGTTTAACTAGCACTACTGAAAGCCTAATTGATAAAATGTTCTCCTTGACCTCAGCGCTGCCTTCGGCACCATCAATCACTCCATCCTCCTCACCCGTCTTGAAACCATCTTCAACATCACCGGCACTCTTGGTTCACATCATACCTCTCGGACAGAAACCAGTTCATCTACATCAATAACTGCAAATCCCCCACCGCTTGCCAAGGTTCAGTTCTCGGCCCCCTCCTCTTCATCCTCTACCTGATGGTCACTTAATCCGCCGTCATGGACTTCATGTACTCTGTCAAAGCGTCTTTGAGTTTCCTGAAAAGCGCTATAGCCTACAAGTCAAGTATTATTAATATTATTATTATCCAGTTTGTCCAATATATATATATATATATATATATATATATATATATATATATATATATATATATATATGCAATTATTTTTTTCTTGCCCTAACTTTTATTAATGTATTTTTCTCCAGTTTTCTTTATACTCCTTAATTTCTATATGTTTTTAACGAAATAATGCCAATGTCATATTGATGCCAATGATGATTCACGGGAGGGCTACTCCCCATAAGCTATGCTTCAGCCCTCCCGCTTCTACTCATTTTGTTCATTTGTGTGTATGAATTATACTTCTTTGTTTTTGTATGAATTTAGTCTAATAAATAATATATATTTTTGACATGTTGACTGCAGTGAGTGTGATAGCGGGATTGAACCAGCAATATCCGGATTTCTAGATCAGCAAAATAAACCACTGAACTAAAGCTTCTAAAACCACAAATAGTATTTAAATCGACAATGTTTTGTTAATCTAAGAAAAAAAACAGTGAATTCTCAATTTAAAGTGCAACTGTTCTCTTTAAACATCCGATTAAAGGTCTAATGCCTGAATTTATGCATCACAATTGTTGAGATATTTTAGCACGTAATACATTTCAGTAGTTAAATGCTTTATATATAATAATCAAAATGCAAAAGAAGCCATTTCAAAACATTTTTAAATGTTGTTTAATAAATGATATTATTGTAATGTATGTACATACCCTGCTGAAATTGAGTTCTTGAAGGATGTGCAGTTGCACACAGCATTACTTCAGTTTAAATCATATTTACAGTCTTTGGATAAAAAGTTATTTGTTATAAACAAGAAGCTGCAGAACTCATGATTTCACGTAAAGATAAACGGCATGCATCAGCTCATTAACAAACAGCATTAGGTGTACTTACCTAGAGATGTGTGTGATCCTCTGAGGCAGTGCTGCAGTTTCACCGGTTATATTGTCTCTGAGAGAGAAACGCCCCCAGATCTTTATTCATTAGCAGGAGGCGGAACTGAGGAGAACCTGGATGATTTCCAAGAAATTACCTGCAGAATATTGCAACACGTCCACACCGTCCGTATGCGTTTGTGACACATGCTAAAACTAATTAATAATAAAGAAGCCCTCACTGTATAGTATACCGAGATGAAAGATACTGTATTTGCACAACACATACTTACTTGCCGTACTCTTGCAGCCAGAGACACTCGCCATGTCACACAAAGTCGTTACTTGACTGTACAGTCTCAAAAATGCCACAGGTGCAACCCTGTCTCCTAAAAATTACGTTCCCACAGAACTAAACTGCATTCTCAATTACGTTTAGCTAGAAACGTATTTTCTCCCACGTTACGTTTGTTATGAACGTATCTCAAATACGTTTATTTTCTACATATCTTCTAGAAACGTATTTTCTCCCACGTTACGTTCCTTATGAACGTATCTTAAATACGTTTACTTTGTACATATCTTTGCCATTTATTGTCTTGCTTATAATAATGATAATAGTCATTTATAAATATCATTTTAGAGCACACCTTTGAAATCGACAATCGGGCTCGATATATGGTTAAATTAAAATCAGTAGGCGAGGCTGTAATTTCGGCAGCTGTTACTCTCATGAGCGAGGCAGAAAATAATAGTTTTAACATGACAAAAAGCTGCTGTGTCGTTTATTGCTCCTCAAAGATTAAAACAAATCCAGAGTTACTTGTTTCTGAACTTCCTCTAAGAAGAAAAGACAGTAAAAGAAGATCTCTGTGGCTTCAGGCTTGATCGCCGTTCAAATGACAGCGTTGGTTTCCCCAAAAGTGGGCGGGGCTGTAAAGTGACGTTTTACTATCATCTATTATTCAAAACCATTCTATTTATTCTAACGTAAATTACATGCTAGTGTTTTATCTTTTTATTTATTTGTTTTTATTTTAAATCGTATAATGTCAGACTTTTTTCCCGTCTGTGAGGAAAATAAATGGGGCTTAGAGCCTCAAAATACTGAAATCTGTATTTTTAAAAATCTTTTCCTTCTAATTTGTTATTCTTTTCTAAATAACACACTGTTATTTACTCAACCATAACACACAATTATCCTTGTTTTTATTTATTCATTTAATTCTATAATCTTGGGCTTTTTAGCCGTAAATAAAGTCACCGGAAACAGGCGGGACATTTCGAGCGATACACACCACAAACCCACCGAACTGATTACCCAAGATCCTCAGCTTGAAGCTCGTTGATTGGATGTTTTAGCCGCAATAAACGCTGGGATATGGTGTTAATAAGTTATGATATCCGACAACGAAAAATCAAATAATACCTAATTCAGAGTGTTCTTGCTTTTCTCTTTGGAAGTCATCACATAACGGCTTTGTAATACACGGTTCGGCTGCATTAAATATTATACATCTGCCGTAGTTCTTTATTTATAGAACCCTGATCAGAAGACTTCTAGACAAACATGAGGAACTGCTACCAAAACTGAATACTTGATGTGGATCATAAATATATCAACAATTAAACAACATCTTCAATTTCTTTTCACAAAATACGTCTCCTTGCAGTATCAATAGTAATTCGGCTGACTTTTATATTTGATCCAATTGGTAGATAATAGGTTATATTTACAACATAACGGTGCACAGCTGATAGAAAAGGACTTGTAGTTTTTAAAGATATTACTGATTTTCTTTGAATATAAGAATGTAAATACTGAGTTGAGAGAATAGTCAGGGGATTTGGGTGATGGGAGACACATCTATGGATTCAGAATTGCAATAGCTTACCATTAAACGATGGATATACCTTTCTGTCTGTGATGTTTTACAAATCAGATATTAATGTGTAGAAGTAAAACATGAGAAATAGTATAGCAATATCCTGTAAAATTATGTAAAAACATGAATAAAACTACACATCTTCAGATGTTATACATACATAAGTGTTCTACACTAATAATACAAAGTTATTATTAGTATGCTGTGTGTACCTTGTGTGCACCGCCTAGTGGTTAAAGCACGTTATTGAATTATTTTTGTTGAATAATGTTATTTGATGAAAACAATATTAAGAGTACATACTTTCATAGGGGGAAAGTAGAAGGTCAATGATAGAAATATAGAATATAACAAGTCAAGAAGATACTATAAGTGATCTCTACAATAAAACAGTTTAGTGCCGGATGTACACAGATATTAATATGAGGATGTGCAAAACAGAAAAACTAATTTACCTTTATTAACACATTAAATAATACTTTAGGTTAAGGTCTTAATTTAAACAAGAAAAAAGCTTTGGGGGTATATATCTACCGATGAATATTAAGCCTGACAAAGTACTTAACGTCTAATATATTGCTTTCCTGCAATGTTAACTATGTTGAAGCACTTCTTTTAACTGATATTATACACATTAATTATACTCTTATGTATGTAGATAGAATAAGAAATGTGCAGAATATGACAGTTTAATGGTGGAGGTACACACATATTGATAGATGTCTTGTAATGCGCTGTTGAGGAACCTGCGACCCAAGTTGTGTATATGATCAAGAAACCTTTGAAAATCTTGAAATCTTGAAAGGGATGTGC